CTTTTACTTTACTCCATTTTTTGTTTGTTTACTTTGCCTCTAGCTGCCTTCATCTTGTTCCTTTTGTAATCATGACCATTTTCCTAAGTTTTTAGTTGTTTCTCTGCTGTTTCACAGTCTTCTGTTTTTTGGCCTCTAGATGGTGTTGTCTGAACTTGAGCACCTACACTTGTCTCAGCAATAACCTTGAGGCATGCTAAGCACACAGATGGTATGCGATGATATAATGTGAAAGACCCCCAGATAATGGTTCCTGGAATTTTAAATTGTTACAGGTTTAAAGAGCAAGCACGCGAGAGTATGTAAAAATAAGATAATTAAATACTATGAATGGTTTCTTTCTGCGGTCATATTTCCTGATTAGGGCATAAATATAGTTATGCATAGGAATTACTGTATACCTTCATTATTATCTGTGATATTATTTGATTCAGATGATTGCCTTTAAGATTGAATTGAAAGTACAAGTTAGGTTTTACATTTTAATAAAAGATGAACAATGTCGTAACCCATCCCCTTTCTGCCAGACATTCTGAACAAAGCGACTCAGATTGCACATGTGCTGCATACTGTATATCTGCTCTGTACACACTTTTTAAACACATACAGTAAGTAGCATAAATACACATTGATGCAAACAAAAAAAAAACACGGTGTTATATAAGCATACTTACACTTTTTACATTGCATTTTTATATGTGGTACTATTTTAGTTATCCTGTAATGATTATGATTTGCTATTTATTATTAAACACATTTTTATTTTGCATTACAGTACGGTAGTATATAGAGAGTGCTTTTCACCATTAAAGTTTATCTCCGCTTTTGCCTCCAAATTGGGATAACACCTACAGACATCCCAACTCTCCCGGATGCTCCAGGAGTCTCCCGCTATACGATAGCAGCTCCCTGATGCCCGCTAGAGAGAAATATTTTGACCAGGAAAGGTTTACTCTGCTCTATCTAGCAAAGTAAAACTTTTTTTTTTTGTATTCTGACGGTAGTAAAAAAAAAAAAAAGAAAGATAGCAGGGGAATGAATAGCTAGGCTGCTATTGGCCATTTCAAATTGCAATAGCTAGGGATGCACCAATACCGATACTAGTATCGGTGTCTATACCGAGTATTTGGGCGAGTACTAATGCTCCGATGCCTGGCTCGATACTTCCGGTATCAGGAAGCCAGGCAGCGTGTCATTACACGCTGCCCGGCTGCCTAATTGGCCGGGAAGCTGGCTCCATGCTCCCACATCACTTGTGATGAGGGAGCATGGAGCCGGCTTCCAGGCCAATCAGGAAGCTGAGCAGCGTGTCATTACACGCCCCCCCCCCAGCTTTCTGATTGGCCAGAAAGCCGGCTTCATGCTCCCTCGTCACCTGATGACGAGGGAGCATGGAGCCGGCTTCCTGGCCAATCAGAAAGCCAGGCGCTGTGTAATGACGCGTTGCCTGGCTTCCTGATTGGCCAGCTAATCTGGAAACCAGGTGGCGAGTCATTGCAAGCCGCCTGGCTTCCTTAATGGGACTTCCGCTATCGCTATTTGGTATCGACGAGGACCGGGAAAAAAAATATCAGTACTTGTACTTGATGCCGAAAAAACAGTATCGGTGCATCCCTAGCAACAGTCAATAGCAGGATGTCTATTGCACCCACCCACTGCTGCTATCAGCAGAGGTGGACCTGAAGTTCTCTCTACAATAACAAAATAGGCCTTGTGGATCCTACCGTATTGGTAAATATGTAAAAATTTACAATTTCTTTCATGAGGGTTAACCAACAGTAAGTACCGTACTATCAAACTGCATTCAGAAGTTAGTCCAAAGGAATTCTGCTTGTGAATTCTCACAGACCCTAGCCATTGTGAACAACAAACAATGTGACGAAAACTCATCCAGTCAGCAAAACCCTGCATGAAACGTTTAAAAGAGAACTATGGAGTAACCTTTTTTTTAACCATAGGTCTCTTTAGGGTCACGGGAGGACATATACTAACGTCCTCCCGTGACGCAAAACTCAGTATATAGCGGGCTATACTGTCGAGATCCACCCAGCTGCCTGATTGACAGCAGGCTCTGCCTATCAAGAGGTAGAGCCAGCTATGCTCGTCCCCTCCCCCGTCTGTCCCTCCAGGAGGATTGGAGAGATGAGGAGGGGTGAAACCGTGTGGAGAGGATCGGGAAGTAAGCGAGCGGTGGTATGTTTTCACTCACTTCCTGATCAATAGAGCCAATGTGTGACAGTTTTAATCGGCTCTCAGTATGGGCATGAGTGTAATTCACTCACCCCATAGTTCTCCTATTTTCCAGCAGGGATTACTTTAAAGTTACTTATATTGCTAATAACATTAGCCCAATGTTTTGTCGGCAGTAAGAAGACAAAACCCCTAGAGTGAATCTTTTTTAATACCTAAAAACTCTGCAATGGGGATCCTAAAAGTATAGAGAACCCTTATTAAACTCTGAAGCAAATTTTCTCAAGCTAAAGTGACCAACACCAAGGAAATCAATGTAGTGAACTATTGTCCCACATCCCATACTTTTACATATGACCCATTTCGAAAAGGATATAAACATTTCAAAACAGGCAGAGGCAATCAAGCAGTCCATCAGGAGGCACGTTTACTTAATGTAAAACCCATTCAAACTGACATTCCAACAAATGTAAGCTTTTTTGATGGACACGAATGCCTTCTTGATGTCGAAACATCTGACACAGCAAACTCTCTAAATTTGCCTTACACCCAATGGTGAGATTACTAGATTATAGATAGGAGGCACTGTAAATCAGCCTAACACACTACCTAATAAAACCTATTTTTTAGGGCTGGTAATGATTAAAATTTTCCTGTTCGATTAATCAAAATTTTTTTAAATCGATTAATTTAGATTAATTATAACGCACATACAGATCCAACTACATTGGCCTATACACATACAGCACAGCAATGAAGTAATAAAATAAACTAGTATCACACTAATCCAGCACGTTATTAATCTCACGTGCCCCACTCAATATGGCTGCCGCTTTAGTGGGGCAACTCAGAATAATAACGTGCTGGATTAGTGTGATCCTAGTTCATTTTATTACTTAATTAATTGCTGTGCTGTATGTGTATAGGTCAATGCCAGGGATCCCAACCTGAAATAAGCAATTTCAGGGAGGTTTCCTTCTGTTTCAGGGAGGTGCCCTCTCCCCCCCATCGGCGGAGGGGGGGTTAGGGGGGGCTGGGAGAGAGCACCCCCCTGAAATGATGAAAAAAGGCATAAGAATGCATAGTTAGATTCCTATTGGCTATTTCACTTTGCAATAGCCTATAGCAAACTAGCTATTGCACCCGCCCCCTACTGCTTTCAATCACCAGAAAATGGACCTGATGGAAAAAAAATCAGGCCCCCTAGATTACATCACTTCCGCATTCTTGTGTCATTCTGCAGCTTCAGAAGCTGATGAAGCAGATCTTTGCTTCAGCAGCTTCAGCAGCTTCTTTGGTGGTCCTCAGGTGACATTAGGGGTCTTGGAGACCCCTGATGTCTCCATAAAGAGAACCTGTCACATATCTTTGTTATCACATAGGGGGTTTCTTAGCCCCCCTATGTGATAACAATAAAGTTAAGTGGGAAAAAAAAATAGGAAAAAAAATTAAAGTTGCAAAAAAATTAATTAAAGTCGCACATGAAACATGCAAACATGCGTTGGGTGCGCATAAGTGCAAAAACGACAATTGTGCATATTGTGCCGCACATGTTACATATCGTCGCAAACGTCGCAGTGAGAGCAATAATTCTAGGGCCATCAATCACTGATAACACTAAACTAGCTAGCTAGCAAGCAGTAGATATATGCAAAAACTTTAAAAACAAACGTTTTAAAAGAGGTTAAAACTGACCTGTATCTTCTCCGCGTGCTCCTGTCCGAAAATCTGAAAAATCTCAGGCCGCCGCAAAGGATCTTGGGGCGGGCGCATGCGCAGTTCAGACGAGGAGAGACACAAGGTAAGTCTATGGACGCGTGCACCCGCATGCAGACTCCGTGAGACAGGAAGTGCAAGCAAGCACAGAGGAGTCAGCACTGGATCGGAGACCCGCCGCAGCGCTGGAGGGACATCTGAAAACGACAGGAAAGAAGAGGATCGGATTAAGAGACATATGTT